CCCCCCCCCCCCCCATGACCCAAGGTTGGGAGCCACTGTTCTAGCATGTGAGGGCAAGGTGGATTAGGAACAGAATTGAGGTGCCACTTGATGAAGTAGTTGGCAGGAAGGAAGCCTCCTGCTCCCACTCCCAGGATCTGCCGTGGAATTAGTCCATGAGGTGAATCCAGTATTTAGGATACGTCTCAGCAAGGCTTTTCTCAGTCAGATCAGTTCAGGATCCCTGCTTTCACCCTGCATGGGTTTGTTCCTTGGCCCACATGCTGCCTGCTGAGTTGGTGTTTTCAGTTTCTGCCTTGTCTGTCTTCTGGCTCAGGGAACCTTTCTCCACCCCCCGCCCCCTCCACACACACACTTCATACACATGCACTTTCACACAAGTGGCCCCATTGAGATCTCTGAGACACCTGCCATACCTGAAGTAAAGTCTGGGCTTAGCCAGGTGGACTTGAAGTTCAGGGGTGGGGAAATGTCTGGTCTGAGGGGAGCTGGAGCACATCACCTGCCATGGGTCTGTTCTCAGTGTTTGTGCTCTAGTGTGACTGGCCTTACTTTGTTTCAGCTTGAAGATCGCACTGTGATCTCCAGCACTGCACTGGTAAGTGAACCCTTTCCCCTCCTCCTAGAGTACATCTCCACAGCACAGCAAAGCCCAGCCCAGGGCCTGCAGGGTTACCCAAACCCCTGGAAGCAGTACAGCTGCCTTGGCATAGTGTGGCACCTGGGCAGTCGGCAACCAGCGTACGTTTGCCAGCCCTGGAGTGAGCATATGCAGAGCCAGCTTGGCTTTGCATCAGCCACAGAAGCCCCTAGTGGCTGTGCAGTCAGGGTCCTGGATTATGCCCCAGGTCCACAGAGCCATCTGTTAGAGGCATGGATTGCTCCCTGTGCCCAGAAAGAAAGCCCAGCTGAGTGTCTCTGTTTCTCCTGACCCAGGACAACGAGGTGTATGACAAGCCACCCAGCATCCATTTTGCACATGGCAGCTCTCCCTCTTCTGGGTCACAGCCGCGTGTACCTGTGCACCCGCACCGCGATTACAACACTTACACCACGGTGCGGCCCTGGGGAGGAGATGACATCATTGCTAACCACCACCGCCTACCCAAGCAGCCCTCCATACACCAGGGAGCACAGCACCAGCAGGAGAATCTGCATGACTTCTATCCAAACCGCCGGCCAGAGAACACCCCCTCTGCCATGCACACGCACCATGACTTCCAGCCTGCTGTGAGTACCTTCTGAGCTTGGGCACCTCACAAGGAGGTCAGATCCTCCTTGTTGCTCCCAGCACTCTTCTGCTCATGGGTGGGTCTGACTTCAGCCAAGGGTGACTGGTGCCTCCTGAGTCTGGGGGGGGGCACAATTTGTGGGTAGGCCCAGGGGCAGGCCAAAAGTCCCATATCCACTCCTATACTTTTGTACCGTAGCTTAGTGCCTCCCCCCCACTCCAACATGCCACTGTCCCAGGCGGCAAAAAAACTGCCCCAGCCATGAGTGGTGCCGAGTCGGGGGCCAATCTTGGGGGGGCATGTGCCCCCCTGTGCCTCCCCTACCAGTTGCCTGTGAGTCTTCAGCACAGGCAGCAGCAAGCCACCCTGCAGAGGACCTTTCTGGGCCCTGTTCCCAAGAAATGTCCTGACCCTGCATCAGCAGTGGCCAGAAGGGTAATATTCAGCCATCTGCCAGCCTGTTACTGTGTCACACAAGCAGTTCTAGGGTGAAATCACTGGCCGCAAACTGTCAGAGATCTAGGTTGGGTTATAAAGAAATGATAGGGCAGGAACTGGACCCCCAGGGTATAAAACAGCCTGACCTTGCAGCCCAGAAGCTAAGGAGCTAAGGGCACTGGCTAAAGCTAGCCTGCATCTTACCCCACATCCCAGTGTGCACCACCTCTCCCAGGCCTGCTAACACCAGGCTTGGCACATGGACTTGTGGTCCCTGCCAGCTTGTGCAGTCCGTGAGGCAGGCAGCCAGGATGGATCTCCTACAGGCTCCTGTCCAAAGCAGCGTGTGAAACCCCCCATTCTGTGGGGTGGCTGTAGTGGGCTGCTAGTTGGTGCCTGAGCAGTGGGAGGTAGTGGGAAGGATGGGGGTGGGCATCTGGGACTTTGTTGTCTGTGACTTAAGCCAGGTATTCCTGCCTTCTACTGACAGCTGCTGGTGTTGGGTGGGTCCTTTCTTCCCACAGGGTGCTGCCAGTGGCTTCACAGTAAATGACTGCTCTATTTGGAGCTTGCACTTGGCTCCCACTGGCACACATTACTTGAAGAGGCAGAGTGCTCTCATGAGGGAGCAGGGGACTAAGTGTCTGCTTCTGCTGTGTCTCTGTGGCATGGGGGCTGTGGTCTCCAGCTGGAGTGTGTTAGCCAGCACCTATAGGGCCCCTTCATCTGCGTTGTTCTTCCAGCTCCACCTCGTGGCTCTGAACACCCCCCTGAGTGGCAGCATGCGCGGCATCCGTGGAGCTGACTTCCAGTGCTTCCAGCAGGCCAGGGAGGTCGGACTGACAGGCACCTTCCGAGCCTTCCTCTCCTCCCGGCTGCAGGACCTGTACAGCATCGTGCGCAGGGCTGACCGGAGCTCGGTGCCCATTGTCAACCTCAGGGTAGGCATGCGGCTCGGCCTTTGTGGAGGGAGGGCAGCCTTCAGGCCCCTGTATCTCAGTTTGCTAACACTAGTGGAGAAAACACCAGGAGCAGTGGCCTGAGGAATGAGCTGCAGAGGCTCTCAGGCTGGCCATGCTGGCAGGCAGTGCACTGCTCTAGGGCCAGTCAGCAGTCCTGCCAAAATGGGAGCTGTTTTGCCAAGTCAGTGTGTACCTGTTCGGACGCTGCCTGGGAGCCCAGCTCCGTTTCATCTGGGACTGAGTCAGGGTTTGAATGTGGGCCTTTTTTAAGCAGAAGGCTCGTGTGTTGGTGAGGGATGGGCACAGACATGTGATAACTCTTGCCCCTTATGACTACAGCAACTGGCCGCTGCCATCATTGGGCAGCTCCCTTCACTTAGCCGGGTAACTTTGGGCAGGAGGGTCTGATTAGGCCAGACACTTGGCATCTCCTGCACAGTGCTAAGTGTCTGTGTAGGTACATGGGAATGAGGGTGCTCAGAACTTCATAGGCAATACTACATTTGGCACTGCTCAAGACTGAGTGCACAAGCTGATGGGAAGGGCAGTCCTTCTTTGTTGGGCGGTATACAGTAATGTAGGGAGGCCATACGTATTCTGGATCAGCTGTTTGCCTTCAGGGACAGCTATTAAAGAGCAGCTTGTGCTTGTACCCTTTCTGGTTCTAGACTAATTTCCCCATGGGTACAACCCTTGGCATGATCAGTGCCAAGCCTGAAGTGGACAAGCAGTAAGTGCATGGACAGACAGATGGAAAAGCAAAGCCCTTGCTGCAGTAGGTATGGGCTGGGCCACAGAGATGTAATCATACCTCAGCTTTTTTATTGTTGCACTGCTGATGACTGGCGCTTCTCTCCCCCAGGATGAAGTGCTGTTCAATAACTGGGAGTCCCTGTTTTCAGGCACGGAGGCGCAGCTCCGAGGTGGTGCTCACATCCTCTCCTTTAATGGAAAGGATATCCTGAGAGACTCCACTTGGTAAGTAAAACAGCGCTGTCTTTGGGCCTGTAGCTCTGGGCAGATATGTATAGTGTAGCTGGCAGGGGGGCGGGCCCCACCATGCTCTGGACATCTGCGGCTGCAGGCGGCCTGGACATGTCAGGAGTGCCAAGTGGGTGAAAGGGCCTCACAACACACCGCAAGATGCCAGCCTCACCCATGCCCTGTGTGGATACAGCAGCATGGCACTTCACTGTGTTTCAGGCCTCAGAAGAGCGTGTGGCATGGCTCTGACTCCAAGGGGCGTCGCCTGACCGAGAACTATTGTGAGACGTGGAGGACTGACAGCAGCGTGGTGACAGGGCAGGCCTCCTCTCTGAGCTCAGGCAAGCTTCTGGAGCAGAAGGCAAGCAGCTGCCAGAATGCCTTTGTCGTCCTGTGCATTGAGAACAGCTTCATGACCTCTTCCAAAAAATAACCCTGGGCACGAAATGCTGGGAGGAGGGGACCTGAACACATCTGTCAAGAGCTGGAGGGGCAGCCAGCTCCCCTGCACAGCTTCTGCCTTCATGCATCGATTCCCAGATATAAAACCAAAGAGTGTTGTGATAGTTTTAAATGCCAACCCGGCACTCACTGTGGTGTCTCTTCTCAGCAGCCGCACTCTGACACAGGGCTTGTGCACTGCGGGCTGATATGGTTGCCAGAGGAGTGGCCTGGTAGGCTTGCTGGACATGGCAAACTCCTCACGTTTGTCAATGTGCCATGTTCTTGTCTCTTCTTCTCTTTCTTAATCCCCCTAATATTTAACCACTTGAGTTTTATATTCTTGCATAAACTCCCCCTTGTTTCCCTATTTGTTACCTTGCTTAGGATGCTCTTTACAGGGAGGGGCCCGGTGTTGCCCACAGGAGTGCATACCAACAATGCCCTTCATTGAGTTTTTGGAAATCAGCAAGATGTTCTTCATTCTAATAAGAGGCCTGATTGGAAAGTGGCTGCTCAGCCACTCCTCACACTGCAGCTCCCCACTTTGTGGGGCTCTCTGGCCTTGGTCTCTCTTGTTAGGAGCTGAAGCAACCAGCAGAGCACCTTGGTAATGAGGCTGTGTTGGACTGGTTCATGGTGACCCTTGGGCCTTGGTGTTGCTGGCAGCGCATCCTGGCGGAGGCAGTTGTGTGAACACAGCAGCTCTTAGCATGTGCAGAAGGTCCCATGAAACCAAATGTCCAACTTGCATGTGTCTGTGTGTCCCTGGGTGGAAACCACCAGGACCAGGCACGCCCCCCATGCAAGAGCTTCCGTCTGCTTGGGTTGGGCCTGCAGGTTAGCTTTCTCCTCAACTTTGCCTGAAGAAGCCAACTGCCTCACCTGTTGCTTATTCCCCACTTCCTTGGCCCAGCTTTAGGTATGAATAACCAGTGCCTGGCTGGGCATGCCCAAGTTCCTCTCCACTTGCATGGGGGTCGCCAACTTCCTGGATTCTGCTGAGTCCACTTAGTTTGTAAGCCTTTCTGCCCCTGCTGTGAGTTAAGAAGATGCTCCTCTTCCATGGCATTTCTAAGCTGTCAGGGGTGCCCTGTCACTGACTTAACCCAGGGCCTTTCTTTCCAAGGCAGAATAATTTCATTGTGAAGATAGGCAGGAGCCTTTGTTCCCTCCCCAGTGTAGGAGGATGCCCAGACATTAGGGCCTGTTGGGCAGACCTGGCCTTTCTGAAATCGCATCAGCCAAGGTCCTGGCCTAATGCTTTTGCCACTCATTCCTGTTCAGTCTCAGCCCTGAAGGCCCCTTTGACTCATTTCATTCTGACCCAAACCATTTCAGAAGTGCTTTTGCTTCTGTTCTCGGGTCCTGGAGCTTGGCTGTGCGTGCTGGTGCCCTAAAAGCTTGCCAAGGGTCGTGAAGGTAAAAGTTCTCACCATGAGGTGAGGGCATATTAGCAGTAGGTACAGAGCCACACACCATTCCCAGCACTCTTTGTGTCTTGGTGCATTGCTGTTACTAGACACTGAGCTGCTAGGATTCTTGAGGGGAGTTTTACGGCATGTGTCCAGTTTCCCATGGCAGCTAGCTGGGCAGCAGAGTGAGGGAGGATCTGTTTTTTACTTTTCCAGAGCAGTTGCCTCCTGGTCTTGGGCCCCTCTTATTCCAGCCCTCCTAGACCTAAATCAGCTGTTGCTGATTGGAAGGAGTGGATGTCTTTTTTTTTTTTTTTTTTCATGCTTTCCTTTCTCCATCCATTCCACCCCCTTGTTCCACAAGGGGGAGGTTTCCAAGTCTATCAGCATCCAGACAAAATCTGCTCTCTGGTGGTTTGTCCCATAGCTAGGGGCTCTGGTTCCCTTCCCCTAGCCCCTACCTGCTGTCCTGAGCACAGTTGTCTTGGTAGTTGAAGATGCATGGTCTCTAGGGCAGGTGCTGCTCCCTATCCCATCTGAGCTCTAATTCCAGCATCCAGAATCCAAGTGTACTGGAGCTGGTGCTACATGCCTTGCTTGCCCTGTTGCAGGGCCTGATTTTGTTGTTCAAGACGCACACAGCTGTTTGCTGTGTCTACACAGGCAGGATGCACTGTGCTGTTCTTCTAATGCTAGTGTAAGAATTGCTCCCAAAAGGCCTACACATCATGGCTTCCAGTCAGATACCTGCTAAGCCAGGCTTCATATGTGCTGTCCGTGCTCTGGTAGGGACATGCCACATCCTGGGTAGTCTGTGCCTTTGTCATGAGGGGATAATTAAGAGCAATGGGAGATTTCATACCAGCGCAGGAACAGGCTACTCCCAAACCTGCATATAGTTTCCTCATCTGATTCCTTAGCATTGGGCTGGAGAGGCCATTTGTTTGGTAAGTTTAAGTGATCAGATTAACGAATAACTTGTAAGGTACTTAGGAACAGAAAAGGACAAGAGAATATAATGGATTATGACCTGTATGGGGGATTTGGGT